CCCCGAGCCCTCAGTCCCTTGCTGTTAAAGGCTTTGCTGTGCACTGCTGCAGGTGTTTGCCTCTTCCCCTCTCCCAGTTTAGGGCTGTACTTTCTGTCCATAACTCAAGCAACATTTTTTTACCCTGAGGCAGATCACAACTCATTTCTTCAGTCTCTAGTAGAAGCAAACAGCCCTGAGAGCAGTGCACAGGTGACATCCACAGTGACCAATTCCCATTTTCTCACCACATCCCTTTTTTATCCTTTTACTCACTTGTGCTCCAATGTGCTCCCAGCAGAATCACTACAAGAAGTTGACACAAAACCTCCTCAAACCCCCACCCTCCTCTGCCCTTAATCCCTGTGGTGGGAGGGCTTATCCAGGTGCAAGTGGTGCTGGTGGGAAAGCTTGGGACTGCCTCCAAGGCAGTGAGGGGCTTTTCCTAGGTGTTCCCAGGAGAAGTTTGAGCCAGGATGTTCAAACCAACCCTTCTGATTGACTGTGGGAGCTGTTGAACCTTTATTCCTTGCCTTTATTTGTCTCAGGAACACTTTTAAATCCATTCCTCTGTAGTTGAGTCCTTACGGGTGTAGGGCAAAATCTCCAAACCCTACAGCCAGAACCAGGCACTGAGTCTGAAGGACTTTCTTCAACCAAAAAAAGGAGGTAGGAGATATTGGAGCCCCTGGGTGTGATGGATTCAAGTGAAACACGCCCCTCTGAAATGACCTCAGGCCAAAAAATTTCCTTGGAAATTTTGAAGGAGTAAAATCGACATGTGAATGAAGTATCACTCCTCTTTGGGGGTGGGAATTTATTCAAACCACTCTCTGAACATTTGCCATTCACTTCAAACTTTGTCATTTTTATTACCCAAAAATTATGCAGCAAAGGCATTGACTTTAATGGGGAAAAATAATTTTAAAAAGAAAACAAACAAATTTTTAAAAAACCCAAAACTACATATTTTTTGACCCATGATGAGTTCTAGCCCCACCTCCCCAAGTCATGTTTTCTTTGCCTCACTTTTCTTTCCAGTAGAATTTCCAACTTTACAGTATGTTCTAAAATCAAACAAAAAAAATCAAAAACAGGGCAGTGGGGGAAAGGCTCAGAATCCTTTGAGAGCCTCATATATTCACTGGTCTCCAGGAGCTGGAAATTTTAAGAGAAAAAACTAAACCACACTTTTGCAAATCACATGAGACCCATCATAAAATTGTCAGAGTTGGCAGCACTGTGAAATCTATGATATTGTGGGCTGGATTTATGGGCAAGAATCCTGAGGCTTTGGGATATTTTTTCCCCTCAGCCCTCGAGTGCAGTTTTTGGGAGGTTGGCTCTGCCGTGGGAGCAGCCTGAGCAGCAGAGGGGGTGACTTTGCCCCTTCCAACCATCCCTGCCTGTAGGAAAAGCTTCACCAGAGCAGGTTTGGGGGCTGCTGGAGGGGAAAAGTAATCCCCCAAACCCACCCAGCATCGTGGCTGGTGAAACTTGAAATGTGGAGCGATTGATAGGGGCAGACAAAGAGCTCTCTGTGCCTCTCAGGGCATCAAAACCCTCCCCAGGTAGCAGGCACGGAGTGCAGGGAGTGTTTCAGCCCAGGGAGGCAGCTGGAAAAACAGCATTGTGACCACAGCCTGGGAATTGCTGCTCGCTCTTTCAAAGGTGTTCTCAGCACAGGTTGGGTTTCCTTGGGCTCTGAGGAATTGCTCAGCCTGCTCTTGTTTATTCTGCTTCATCCCTAAAGGCCTGTTTGCCTCCTGCCTGGTGATGTTCTGTGGCTCCTTTCCTCACCAGATTCCCTGTTTGTGGGGAGGATGGGCCTCCACTGCCTTCTCTGGACTCTCCTGGACTCTCGTTCCACCAGTGCTGTCCCCAGGCCTGGGGCAGGAGCAGCCCAGGTCCAGCCCACCCCCAACACCCCCAGTGGGGTTTATGGAACAGCACCAGAGGATGTTTTGGAATGGACTTCCTCAGGTTTCAAGGCTTCTTATTAAAGAATCATGGAATGGTTTGGACTGGAAGGGAACTTCAAGATCATGTTTTTCCAGCCCCTGCCATGGCCAGGGACACTTTCCACCATCCCAGGCTGCTCCAAGCCCCATCCAACCTTGGACACTTCCAGGGATCCAGGGACAGCTGCAGCTTCTCTGGGCACCCTGTTCCAGCCCCTCACCACCCTCACAGGGAGCAGTTGCCAGTTTAGCTGTGAATTAGGTGAATTTTGCACCTCTTTTGTCCAATTCCTCCACTGACAAATGTAATTTTTCCCCTAATTTTGCTGTTTGTTGTTATTGTCAGCATTATTATTCTTGGCTAAGAAATAAATTCATAAGAAAAGAAATCAAAGAAATCACATCAGGCTCTTTGAAACATAAAATCACAATCAGAGGGAGAGGATGGCTTCTTCTTGACAGCTCCTGGTGTTGTTTTGGACCACTTCGGGAAAAGTAGAAGCTCAGAACAGGCACACCCACATCCAGGCTGGGATCACCTTTTCCTTTCACATCCTGATTCCTCCCAGTCCTACCCATGGAAATGGAATTGCCATATGGAAATGCCACATTGACAAGCTCCTTCAAAAGAGGAGGAAAAGGCTGGATTGGATCCTCCCACCACCTTTTCTTTGCATCATCCCAGATTTTACTGCTGTGGCAAGTGATGATTCTGCCACTGATGGCCTCCCTGCTCCTCATACCAGTGTGGCTCCACAAGGCTGTGTCCTCAGGGATCTGCTGGCTTTTCCAGCCCCAAAACCCATCACAGAATCTCAGCATAACCCCAAAGAGCCGAAAACCAAACCTGAGGAGCTCTGAGGAAATGAGGGGAGTTGGAAGCTTGAGGCTTTCCTCCCAGCGCTTAAGAAGTAATTTTCCATGGGATTTAGTTTTCCTTAATCCTCTTTGAGATGCCTGGCAGGCATTTCTGGGGAGACCTCTTTACTTACAGGGTAACCACTGCCCATCTAATGACATGGGAATCACCCCATGGGGATTAGATGATTACATGGTCAGCAGTGGGATAACGAAGCTGGGAAAGCACAGTGTAGATGACAGCTAAATACAGCGTAATTGTTGTGTTCCTTAACTCAAAATGTGATTTACCCAGCAGTCCTGGAGCACTGCATGTTCTGTGTGATTTAATGCAACGTTTGGGTGATTCCCTGGGGGTGGCTCCATGCAGACAAAAGGCTTTGCAAGAACTGAGGTCCCAGCCGTGCCCCACATGTGCTGCCCACGTCTCCTTCTGCCCCAAATGTTGTTGATACCCAGATTGTGCTCCAGCATCACACTTTGGCTGTGTCTAAGCCAACAATCATGAAAGGTTTTGAAGCAAAAAAATCAAGTAAAACCAGCCCAGTCCCAAAAATACATTAAAAATAGGTGGGCACTCCCTTGCCATGGAGAGTGTGTGGTATTTATTAGCCAAAAATTGGCACACAAAAATGGGAGATCAGAGCTGGGTAGGGCTTGTTTTTTCTCCTTTGCTCCATGGCTTTGGATACTTGTTTATATTCCCTCCCACATCAGAATTCCCACACATTCCCACCCACCTTCCCAATGGCTGACACGCAGGTATACCTCATTAGTTAATTAGAATTACTTTTAATTAAAAATATATGTAAATTATATAGAGTGTGCACAGCTTGGAGAGGGAAAAAAAAAAAAAAGAAGAAAAGAAAGCAAACTTCCATTTCAATAAAAATTTTAACCTCTTGGAATCAGCTGCTTTTGTGACATCCTTGGAGTTACTGGAACTCCCACGTATAAATAAATAGGACCAGGAAATTTTACACCTGAAATATTCTGCAATAGACATTTTTCCTTGCACATATTTGCTTTTCCTTCTCTTTTTGACTCCACCACTCCCAGCTTCTCATGATCACTTTCTGCCCCTTTTAAACACATTTATTTAATATCTCACTTCACACACCCAGACTGATACCCCTTTTTTTTTTTCTTTCTTTTTCTTTCGGAGAGGGAGCAAAGGAACACGAGAGAAAATGAAAGCCTGGGATTGCAAACAAGCGTCATCATCATTTTGGTGAGCAAACTTTTTCCTCTCAGTGTCTGCATCCTCTCCCCCCGTGGCTGCTGGCTCAGAGCCTGGCTTTCCACACGCTGCTAAAAATCCAGCAGGACTCAAGCTGGAGATGTTTTCAAGTTTGGAAATAACCCCACGCTTCCGTCAGAGGCGGCTGAAGAACCAGGAAAGACCAAGAGATGGGAAGGGAAGAGGAGTGAGAGAATTACAAGTGCGAAAGGAGAAGAGGGGATGGTTTATGGAATGGTTACTGGAGAGAATTTTTGGGTATTTGTAAGGAAACATAGCTCCCTGTGGGAGTAATTTTACTCTTGGTACAATGCCTAGGTGAGGAAGGTACTGGATTTATTCATTTGGGGGTTCTCAGTACCTCTTTCTGTTGAAAAGTAAAGATAATGCTAATTAAAAAAAAAACAAACACCACTCCAAAATCCACCCTTGGTAAAAAGGGCCGGTGTCTTTTTTTTTTTTTCTGAGAAAATGGAAAGAAAAAAAATATATATTATTATTTATTATATAACATTGTCAACATCAACACCACAAAAAAAAAAAAAAAAAAAGTAACATCCTAATTGTTCTCGTTCAAGCATTCTGACTGTGGTGAGAAAGGCAGCAGGAGTTCGGTGTCCCTTGGAGAACAAAAAGAGCAGAAGGCCGGGGCGGGGGGGGGATGAGGGTGGTGGCAGCAACACAAACTGGGTGGGACCGTGGAGGGACAGAAGTGTGCTGGGCTGTTGGCTTTTCTTTTGAAACAAAAGAAAACGAAAGGGGGGTCAGGGCAAGTCACACCGAGGCCGATGACTTCCAGCCGTGCTTTCAGTCAGTGTCCGTCCCTCTCGAGTGCTAGCGGTGAACATTCACTTCAAGGAGTCTTGCAAAACGCTTTGTTATCAACAGGGGGATTCTTTTCCTTTTCCTTCTCCCGTTTTCTCGGATTTCCCCGTGGCTCTGGCACTTCCCTGCCCCCCTGGTTAGCTGTTCTCGCTCCACTCTGGCACCATCCCCACGCCGTGCACAGAGTGGTACTGGTGGGGCGACAGGGTTCGAGGCACGCCGTGGGAATACAGGAATTCCGCGGGCTGGAGGCTGCTGGGAGGGGACTGGATGCCCGTTTGAGGTCCACACTGCCTCACGATGGGCTGGTGGGAGCTTTGGTGCTGGAACATGCTGTGGGTGTCTGCGATTTGGGGCGACGTGTGGTTGGCCACGCTGCCCAGGCGAGGCATGAGCGGCCCCGAGGTGAAGTGGGCAGAGAAATGCTGGTAGGGTAACCTGTCCATGGGCTGCATGGCAGACACTGTGCAACTGCTGTACGAGGGCACGCTGGGCCACGTGTTACAGCTGATGTCCTCCAGGCTGGGCACGGGCTCCGTGGGCGGCGCCGAGCTGGCGTACATGCAGGCCTGGCGCTGCGCCGACTCAGTCCTGTACGACGCGTTCAGTCCCTGCTGCTGAGGGTAACTGGACCTGTAGAAAGGGTCCTCGTCTGCTGGAGAGGTTTCCATGTAGGGCTTCTTGTAGGGATGCTCGGTGGTGGAACATTCCTCATCTGTGGGGAGAGAAAAGTGCCGGTAGCCACCAAGGAGAGTGAGGCCGCAGCTGAGCCTCCCTCTCTGCAGCCCTGGTGTTACCGAGGACAATCTGACACTTCCCTGGAAATGATCTCAGTCTATCCCATGGAAACCAAGCCTTGCGCTTGGCCCTCTCTGCTGGAGTGGGGAAGGGATTAGCCAGGAGCTCTGGGAGGAAAATCGAGATGCTGGAGGGATCCTGAGGTTTATCTTGCTTGGTGATCCCCCCTTATGCTCCCCATCTCCTTCCTGCTGCCACTTTTACCTGAGGAATAACATCTACCTGTGACCTCTGCACCTACCAGGGTCCCCATTTCCTCCCAGGAGGCTCAGAGCTGATGCTGTCAACTCAAATCCTTTATTACAAAACATTTCCATGATAAAAAGAGACAAAAAAAGGAGATCACAATAAAAATCCTCCCAAGAGAGCACCAGGGATGGCACGGTTGGGACAATCAGATTTGGAGTTTGACAGCCCCAGCCTTCAGCTGTGCCAAGGCAGCTGAGCACATAAATCCACACAGGGCTGTGGGCACATAAATCCACACAGGGCCGTGTGCTGGAGCCAAGGGGAACAAAGGAGAAAAGTAAATTTCACAGCTAGTAACAACAAGGCACATCTTGCAGAGCCCTTTGTTTCCTGCAGCATCCCAGGCCGGCAGAGGGAAGGAGATAAACAATTTAGGTGAATTCTCCAGGGTGAGGCCAAATGAATAAATGAATGTGCATTTATTTATTCATTCACAGGGTCATCAAATGAAATCCAGCTCTGCTGGAATGGATGGCAAAATTCCCAGGGATGAGCACTTCACCAAGAGATTTTAAGGACAGCGTGGCAAGGGAAGGGGAGCTGCTCTGACATGGATTAACTTCACTGCTGCCTCAAAAACAAGATTTCTGGTGCAGGCAGGAAAACATCCCACTTGGTTAGAACTCTCCTGGCTGCACCCTTTGAACAGGGGTCAGATTTGAAAGAAATTTGGAACAAGTTGCCCTTTACTATTTTTCTCAACCAGCATGTTTTGAGTCCCCAAAATACAGTGGGGAAACAAACCCCAAAGAGTTGCACAGAAAGGAGGAGTATCAGAGTATCTGCCCCACAAGAGGCACAGAGGTGTTGCTGCCAGGCTGCTCTGAGGGGAATGCCCATGTCACACCTTCAGGAGGGACAGGTGGGCAGTGCAGGCATCTTTTGTTTCTTCTAAACACACACATGCACAGAACTCTTATTGCTGTAAACAGCCATGAGGGCACTCCAGGAAGCTGCACCCTCTCCCTGCATGTAAAATAACCTGTTATTCCCACCCAGGGGACTTCCAAGTCCAGCTGGAACAACTGCTGCTGTGCATCCTGGTCCAACAATCCCACAAAGAGCAGGTACTGAGGGTACTGAATGTGGGGACACTCCCCACAGTGGCCTTTGGCTCTGTAATAGCATAAATTCAGCTGCAAAGCCACAGGCCCATTTCTTTCTTCCTGACAACATCAAAGCCTGGCTCCTTCACCTCAGCAATGCAGAGCCCTGATAACCAAGTTTCTCCTCTGCCTTCCCTGTAAATTGGGGTGGGAAGCAGGATGAGATAAATGAGCAATTCCATCCCATTTTTAAAACCAGCTGAAACAATGAGCAGGGAGATGCAGGAATTTTTCACCCTCCATAATCCAGCTCAGGTCCAGTGTACGTAGGAGCAGGGGGAAGGATGAAGTCCCCTGAAAGCCAAAAGCTGTAGGCACAGGTCTAACCTCTCTCCTGATCTCAGCCCCATGACAGGAGGTACATCTGGAAGAACAGCCTGAGCTTTTATGGACAGTGTAAAAAGTTTGGATTCCTGACCCACTGCTGAGTAATAAGAACACTGGGGTGGAAAAACAATGTCTTGTAAAATGCAGCATTGTTCTGCTAATAAAGTTTTCAGCATTAAACCGCATCACTCTGCTGGCACCAGAAATCATTGGCTTGGGGTTTGACTGTTTATTTTATTTTGATTTTTTTAAATATACAACACAAACCAGTCAAACTCTGTTTTTCCGTGGTGTAAAACTGCCTGACTTACAACCTGAGCTTGCTGATTTTTCCATTTAGCTGAGACATTTCACTGCCCTCCACAGCCCAGCTGGGCAGAGCTGCAGTGTCACAGAACCACTTTCAGAATCCATCACAGGTAAAGAGGAAAAAACAAAGTCAACCAGGGTTTCAGTGGAAACCCCAGAAGTGCCCTCTGTCCTTCTGTAAGCTCTCAGGATCACTCTGCTGGTCCCTCTAGAGCCAGGTTCACTGATGTTTTATGTGGAAAGGGATTTTAAGGTGTCTAAGGACCTTCTTTCCATCTCCAAACAGGACCTAGGCACTAACAAAGGATTCCAGCCTGCTCTAACAGCTTCTGCCTGCCCTCCTGCCCCTCTTCCCAGTGGTTGTCCCATCTGTGGAGCCTCAAAGTGCTAGAGAGGGAAGAGAAGGGTCCATGTGCACCCTGAGGTAGGATGGTGCAGACCAGAGAGCCTCAGCTGATGCTGCCTGAGGGATTTACAGTGGTCCAGGCTCTCTGGTCTAGTCCCACCACTCCTCCCAGAGGAGATCAGAGCCAGCACAGCTGGAGGGCATCCCCAGGGTGTCTGGAGCAGCTTTAGGGTGGACAGGGGACATCTTCAATGACAAAAGGAGCACAAGACAGAGAGGTCTCTCATGCAAGGCCAAAGGCTGAGGTTTCAATTCATCCTCACGCGCTCTGGAACCTGGACAGTGCAGCTCAGGGCCATAATCCTGTCCCTGAAGGACCTCTTACCTCCTCCTAGCAACGTAAGCAGGACATAGGAGATATGTAACTGCCTGCTCAGGGTTTGATTCCTGATGCTGATTCCCTGATCACAGCTCCTTGTCCTTTTCCAGGTGCCACTGAGCCCTCAGAGGAGTTGTTGGCTATCCTGGGAGATATCCTGACCATCCCCCACTGCTGGTGCTATTCTTGGAGGCCGAGGGTGGTGACCAGCTCTAGGGAGCAGCCCCTCGATGCTGCACAAGCCGCAAAAAGCAGGAGGTGTTGCCAAGCAGGGGGAGCTGCCAGCACCAGGGAGAAGCCGCTCCGACGTGAATCCAAGGAAAACGGAGCCTGAAGAATGGGGTGGAAACTGGCTCCCTCACAAGGAATTTGATGATCTATCTAACGAAGGAGCTTGAGCGAGAGCATGAGCGCTTCCAAGATTTCCGGTATTTACTACTTCCAGCTGGGTTGTAAATACCACGCAAATGACTTTTAAAATGGAATTTTCCCAATTCCAAGATCCAGGCCATGTAGAATGAAATGCAAACATGGAAAGCCTCTGGACTTCAGGGTGCACAGGGCCTCCCTCTCCCCCCTGGTGTAAATCAGGAGAGCTCCTTTCCCACACATGACACTCAGCTCCCCAGGATGGAAGACAATGAAGACTGGGACACAACTTGTTTGGTTTTTAGAGCTCACCCACACTTCCAGGGCATTACAGGAGGTTCAGCCTGACTTTGTGAGGGAGACACAATGGGTGATTATCACTAACTCTGTTGTTTTATCCAGCATGGATTCCAGCATGAATCAGGCACGAGCCTGAAGAGCCACTACCAGGGCGCAAGAGTGACAAAGGTTGTCCAAGAAGAAAAGAACAAGGCAGATTCCATCAAGATGAACATCTCTAAAGGACAAATAAACCCTAAATCCTAGGACATGGAACCTAAGACACACCAGCTATTCCACCTATTGCACTGTTTGTGATATGGCTGTGTTGTATTGAACACGACAGGGCTGTGGGACAGGGACAATCCAAAAAAAATTCCCCAAAAGCTGGAATCTTTTCCACAGGCAGCAAATTGCCTGCACTCCCTGCAGAGGATCGAAAGGCATCTCTGACAGGAGAGGGGCATCAGAGAATGGGTCAGGTCGGAAAGGACCACAGTGGATTATCTCTCCAACCTCCCTGCTCCAGCAGGGTCAGCCCACAGCACATGGCACAGGACTGTGTCCAGAAAATTCTGGAATATCTTCAGTGAGGAGACTCCACACCCTCCTGGGCAGTCACACTGGTGCTTGGCCACAGGAAAGAAGTCCTTCCTCATGTTCAGGTGGGATTTCCCAGGCATTTCCTGCCTGTTGTCCTGTTGCTGGACACCATGAAGCAGAGCCTGGTCCATCCCCTGGCACCTCCCTGCAGACACTGACAGACACTGATTGGGTCCCTCTTAGCCAAGACTCACCCAGCTCCCTCAGCCTTTCCTCATTAGGGGTATGAAACTACAGTGCCACAAGGGTGTGGCTGCACAGCAAGAGCTCCCTGAACACCTCCTGCCCACACAGGGAGTACCTTCCTCACCCTCAGTGTCCCACAGCCACCCTGCTCTGAGCTCCACTGCGTCTCTCCAGCTGCAGCACAGCCCGAGCCTTGGCCAACTCATCGCATCTCAAACATCAGCAGCATGAGCAGTGTGTCCTCCAGGGAGACATCCCATGCCTGAATTTTGTCCTGCAAATTCTTCAAGTGAAAAAACCAAGCTGGGTGAGATGTGGGAAGAAGTTGGTTCAGTCAATAAAGAGGTCTGCCCAGCCTGACAGTGCCTGTTCTTGAGGAGAAGGTGGAAAGGCATTGCTGTGTCAGCACTGACCTCATCAGAGCAGGAAGGAGATGAAAGATAAATCCTTCCCCAGGATTATGTCCAAGTTAGGGGGCTGAAGGACACAGTCCTCGCTGGTTGGAGCCAGTGGATTCTGCCACATCCCTCTTCTCCCTCAGAGTGCCAACTTGACAACTTTTATAATCTCCCCAGGGAGAGGCTGTTCCAGTTGCCTCCTGTTCAGGATCACAAGCATCCCAGAAATCTGCCAAGTGGTTGGGATTGTGTAAGGCTGGGAGGGAGCAGAGGTTTAGAGGGATGACTATTTAGTCCACAGGATATCTGAGAGAGAAGATAATACAAGGGAAAACAAGGCCCAGTATCCTAACTGGGATGTGGGACTAAATGAAAGACACAAGGCAAGCTGCCTGCTGGTGAGGCCTTTTGGGCTTCTCCAAGCACAACAATGGGAGAGGGAGAAGTGGAGAGTAACCAGAAGAATGACAAAACTCCAACTGCTCTTTGTGTCAGCCTAAAAATCCACATCAAGAGCTGAGACCACTCCTTGATGAGATCCAGGGTTAGAGGTAGTCCATCCTCTCAAGACCAGTGACTGTCACATGCCATCAGCAATCCCAGTGTGGAGCTTGCATACAAGGCAGGATGATCCTTGCCATTCCCCATTCCTGGAAGAGTGACCCCATTGCAGCACACCGGGGTCATTCCCAATGCTGTGACCCTGCCCTCCCACCTGCACACCAGGAATTACCAGATTAGGAGCTCTGGGATGTGTCCGTCCTTCCTCAGCCAGGAGAACATCACCTCCCTGAAGCAGGGGAGCCTTCAGAGATAACATCCCCTGGCAGCCCTGCTGCTCTCCCCTAATGCAATTCCATATCAGATCTCCACAGTGAATCCATCTTGGCTTGACAGCTAAGAACAACACTGCCAACCTCAGAGAATAATCCTTGTTTTAGGTCACCAGGAAAGCAGAAGTTGAACAAGGTTCCTTTGAGCTGAGTGACCACAGACCTGTCTCTAATTCAGCCTAACCCAGGGCTTGGCTCTGACTGAAAAGGATGCAGAGAAACATCAGGAGATGTAAATGCTAGAAGGAGACTGGCTTGGAAAACAGTGGTGGGATTCACACAGAAGATGCAGACAGCAGCTGGTCTCAAACCCAGCTGAACTGCCCTCTGCCCCCAAGAGCACTTATCCATAACCACAGCCTTGGGAAAGGAAATAATCTGCTTGAGATAAAGCCTAAACTGCCTGAGGAGGAGTCAATGCTTGGGGAGTGGATAATCCAATGCAATCAATAAGATTTCCAGTCCACAAAATGGACAGAGGGACAGTAGAAACAAACAAACTCTTGCTTTTGAGTTTTCTGAGGTGGTGAGGCTTGATAACTGTAAAGCAGAAATGTAAGAAAGCAGGAGAACTATGAGGGAAAACTCAGAAATGAGAGGCTGGAGCAGAAAAAAAA